CCACGTCATGGTTTTAATTTCCCGCGCAACCACTAAGGGCATCTGAGTTTGCGGCCATGTTTTAATTATGACCCAGCTTTAACGAGCCTCTTTGAGAATCTGATGAAAGTTGTAGACATCTACCACACGCATACATTTTTATGATTTTAAAGACCCCCCTGAACTCCTACTCATACCTCAAGACCCAGCCCAAAAGTGACTCCTGGGAAACTGTGTTTTTCTGGAATCCCATAACACTTGATACAGACCTCTACCTATCTAGCCTGATGCCTTTTTAACGTTCACGTCACTTCAGGTGGAGTACCTCAAGGGCATAGGTATCTTTTCTACCCTCCCCCTGTTGAACTTTGTGTCTGGCACAGTAGGTGCGTCAACCATCCGTGTGTGTTGAAGGCATAAATGAATGAATCCGTGAAACATATGGGGTTGACCCATGGTTAACAGTCTAGTCACCAGGTGTTCTCCACTTACCACTGATTCTTCCCGTTTAGAACTATTCAGTCATCCAGGCGCGGTGGCTCACACCTGTAATCCTAGCACTTTGGGAGGCTGAGGCTGGCAGATCACGAGTTCAGGAGTTCAAGACCAGCCTGGCCAATATGGTGAAACCTCCGCCTCTACTAAAAATACAAATTAGCCGGTGTGGTGCCGCACGCCTGTAATAGCAGCTACTAGGGAGGCTGAGGCAGGAGAATCACTTGAAGCCGGGAGGCAGAGGTTGCAGTGAGCCGAGATCGCGCCACTGCACTCCGGCCTGGGCCACAGAGCGACACTCCGTTTCAAAAAAAAAAAAAAAAAAAAAAGAACTATCCAGTCCTCTCCTGAAAACCTTGACACAAACACACACACACACACACACACACACCCCTACCTCTCCAGCCCTCAAACGGAAGCGGGACTGCTGGGGCCCGACCTCTCTGGACCTCCGTTTCCCTGGCCGCGGTCTCACCTGCCGATGACGTCCTTAGGGTCGTACTTCTGGTAAAACTCCTTGGCGGCGGCCCAGTCGGGCAGCTCATCCTCCGGCCCCACGTCCAGCGTCATCCTGAAGGGGGCGGGGGCCTGCGCGGAGGAGGAGGGCAGTGAGGGCAGGGAAGCCCACAGGCTCTGAGACGACCCGCATCGCGGCTCCCGGGGGCGCAGCCCTTGCGGCTGGGGCGCCAGGGTCCTGGGGAGTGGGGGAGGGGGGTAGGGGAAGGACTCGGACTGGGGAGACCCCGCAGAAGAGCCTGGGGGCGGGAGGATGGCAGGGCAGGAAAGGGAGTGGGGAGAGGTGCCCAGGAAGCTGGGGGAAGGGGCGCAAGGGCAGGCGGCTGTTGCCGCGCAGGCGCATTCGGGCGGGCGCAGGAAGGGGACGGGGGTCTAGCGCAGGCTCACCCGCTGGGGTAGGCAGAGGAACCAGGGTCGACGCGACCTGCGCTGTCGCCGGGTTCGCCTGCAGTCACTCACCTTAACCTCGGGCAGCAGGCGACGACCCAAGGCTCCGCCTCCATCCTGCCCGCCAATGGCCAGCGCCGCCCGAAGACTGAGGCTCAGAAGCTCTTCCGATTGGAAACCGGCCGCCCAATAGGGGCTGGTGCGGGCGTCGGAGCTCGGCGTGACCTAAGGACGCGACGCGACGCCGGGGCGCGGCTTCAGACACGGCCAATCACCGAGTGGCATCTACGGGCCAGCGGAGGGCGGAGCTTGTTGTCAAGTGGGCTTGGAGGCCTGGAATGGGACCCGGAAATTGAGTTTACTGGGAAACGTGATCGTTGGGTGGCGGGGAAGCAGGACCTTCCCGCGCCTCTAGTTCCCAGACTTGAGCAGGGGAATTCCCTCGGTCTTCTCCAAGCACCCCTAACTGCATTCACCATTTTCTCTTTTTTTAGACAGGGTCTCGCTCTGTAGCCCACGCTGAGGCTGCAGTGTAGTGGCGCGATCATAGCTCACTGCAACCTTGAACTTCGGGGCTCAAGCGATCCTCCCGCCTCGGCCTCCCAAAATGCTAGGATTACAGGCTTGAGCCACAACGCCCAGCAAGCTCTTTTCAATATTAGCAGCCTTGCCCAAAGCGCCTGTCTTGAGTACACTCCAGCCCTTAAAACATTTGGACACACGCAGCTTGGACCCCCAGCTTGGCCTCTTAGTTCGGACTTAGAAGGCCAGAAGCAGCCTTCTCTTTCTATGGCCGCTTCAATCCCTCCTGAATACATCCAAAGCCCTAGCGTTTACTATCTGGGATTGTTTATACACTTTCTCCATCTTCCACCCTCTCCCAAAAGCCTTGTATCACACTGTTCTAAACCCACAAGGTTCTTCTGCCAGGAGCTTTTGCCACCAGTCGCTTCTGCCAGGAGCGACTCAGTGCATAGCTCAGACCTGGCATTCACTAACAAATTTTTATGACCATCTGAGACCTAGGGACTAGACTGAGACAATGAAACACACACACACCCCTACCTTGTGGAGGTTATGTTCCAGCAAAGAGGAAAAGAATGAACTTATCTTCCAACAGCTATCTTAGAAATAACACTTTGGGATTACAATTATATGAGGGAAGAAAAATGAATTCAGGTAACTTTTTATAGAGTACTTTGACTCTGTATCATCAATCTAAAGGCAAAATTGCAAAGAAATCTTGAACTTTACTTAGATTTGTTGTTTGGTAATATAATGGAATGATTATTCTGAAGCTGAGTAATCAACATATTGACGTGACTGGAAGCCAAGGTTCTTACTGTGGGAATCTGGAATCTGGAAGGGGAAAGTGGAGAAAGAACCCTATGATTGACTAGAATTTTTTAAACGATTTTAAAAATATTTAAAATAGATAACATTAATTATTTACTGGCTCTTAACTCTGCTTTCAGAATGCCCCAAGCAGTAACGTCACAGTAGAACGCCTAGTGTCTAGATGCTGATTTCTCAACAACAGTCCCCAATAAAAGGAACCAAGGCTGTTCAGGAGAAATGGCCAATTTCTAGGCTTCAGCAGGGAAAGTACAAGGTGAGTCTGGAGCGATTGGTGCTAGAAATTACTAAAGAGGGGGGCTTATCACAAGGACACAGGAACCAGATTGAAGAGGTTTCCGTTAAGTCAGTATCGGGGATAAAAATAATGAGGAGTATGAGGGAGCTTGCTGATGTGCTGCAAATGTTATATTCCTATAGGTGGTGAGTGACTGACTACACAGGTTTATTTATGTTAAAACATTCATCGGCTGGGCACGGTAGCTCACCCCTGTAATCCCAGCACTTTGGGAGGCCGAGGTGGGCGGATCACGAGGTCAGGAGTTCAAGACCAGCCTGACCAACATGGTGAAATCCCATTTCTACTAAAAATACAAAAATTAGCCAGGCGTGATGGCACGTGCCTGTAATCCTAGCTACTCAGGAGGCTGAGGCAGGAGAATCACTTGAACCCGGGAGGCAGAGGTTGCAGTGAGCCGAGATCGCACCAGCCTGGGTGACAGAGCGAGACTCCATCTCAAAAAAAAAAAAAAATCAAATTGAACACTTAAGATCTGTGTGTTGGGCTAGGCACAGTGGCTCACGCCTGTAATCTCAGCACTTTGGGAGGCCGAGGCGCGTGGATCACGAGGTCAAGAGATCTGACCAACATGGTGAAATCCCGTCTCTACTAAAAATATGAAAATTAGCAGGGCGTGGTGGCTTAAAACCTGGATGACAGATTGATGGGTGAAGCAAACCAGCATGGCACACATATACTTATGTAGCAAACCTGCACGTTCTGCTTGTATCCCAGAACTTAAAAGAAAGAAAAAAAAAAACGAACAGGCTGGGTGCGGTGGCTCACACCTGTAATCCCAGCACTTTGGGAGGCCAAGGCGGGTGGATCACAAGGTCAGGAGATCAAGACCATCCTGGCTAACACGGTGAAACCCAGTCTTTACTAAAAATAGAAAAAATTAGCCAGGCGTGGTGGTAGGTGCCTGTAGTCCCAGCTACTCGGGAGGCTGAGGCAGGAGAATGGCATGAACCCAGGAGGCAGAGCTTGCAGTGAGCCGAGATCGCACCACTGCACTTCAGCCTGGGCAACAGAGCGAGACTCCATCTCCAAAAAAAAAAGAAAAAACAAAACAACATTCTAAAATGTGTTACCCTTTTTTCCTGATTTAGAAATTTCAGAGTGAACCCAATCAAATCTTATCTGTAGAGCAGTAGTTCTCAAACTATGTGCACTAGAATCAATTGGGAAACTGTGAAATCCTAATGCCCAAGTTGTACCTCACACCAATTAAGTCAGAATATAGTCTGGGCAAAGCCCAGGCCTAACTACTTTTTAAGGCTCCCAGGTGTTCCATTATGAAGCTATGTTGAGAACACTGCCCTGTATATGGCTTCTACCCACTGTTGTAATTCTAACTTCTGAGACCACCAATCAATTCTCTTCCTTCTTCCTGGAGCACTTGGGAACACTGAGGACAGCCATCATGTGCCTCTCTTTCCCCTCTAGTCTCTCTTCAGTGTGCAACATCTCCAATTCCTTTAGGCGCTCTTCTGGACTCTGAATTATGGTAAGGTGCTTGCCAGGACACGTGCACTCCAAAAGGCATGACTCATAATAACCCCAAACTGCAAATATCCCAAAGTCCACCAACAGAAAATGGACAAATTGTGATACATTTGTATGACTGAATACTGCACAGCAATGAAAACTACACCTATGCCAAATATTGACAAATTTCACAATAACATTGTGAAATATGAAAAGAATACATGATTCCATTTATATAAAGTTCAAATGCAGACAAAATTAAACGACACTGCTAGAAGTCAGAATGGTGGTTACCTGTGGGAAGAAAGGAAGTAGCAGTGATCGGGAGGAGTATAAAGGAGGCTTTGAAGTGTTGACAATGTTCCAATTTCTTTACTGAATGTGGTTATTCATGTTTGCTTTGTGTTAATGAACTGTATACATACTTGTTTGGGGTATTTTCCTATATGTATGATATACTTCATAATTTAAAAAAAAATTTAAAATATGAGGTCCAAGATAAAAGATATGAAAATCCATTTTAATCATTCAAATCTCCATGTACAGGATGGTTGTTGCTGTTACCCAACTCTTTCACTCCTCTCTCAGCTCTGGAATCAAAATTGTTTGGGTTCAGTCTCAGCTCTACCATTTAGTAGCTGAGGACCTTGTGCAAATCTGTCTTATTTCCTCAAGTATAAAATGAGAACACTGTCATTTTAGAACACTTCCTCCAGTTTTCACTCAGATAGTTGGTACCTATCATATGTGACATATTCATATGATGGATATGATAGTATAGATACCTACTGAGTGACTGAAAACTGGAGGAAGTTAAGAAATATAAAGTGCTGGCCGGGCGCGGTGGCTCAAGCCTGTAATCCCAGTACTTTGGGAGGCCGAGGCGGGTGGATCACGAAGTCAGGAGATCGAGACCATCCTGGCTAACATGGTGAAACCCCGTCTCTACTAAAAATACAAAAAAAAAACTAGCCGGGCGTGGTGGCGGGCGCCTGTAGTCCCAGCTACTTGGAGGCTGAGGCAGGAGAATGGCATAAACCCGGGAGGCGGAGCTTGCAGTGAGCCGAGATCGCGCCACTGCACTCCAGCCTGGGTGACACAGCGAGACTCCGTCTCAAAAAAAAAAAAAAAGAAATATAAAGTGCTTAGAACACAGCCCAGAATATAGTAAGTCATAAATAGTAGCAGCTGCTACTACTCTTGGCCTCAGAGTCTCTGTGGACGTACAAGGGAGAAGCTGGGGTCTTTCCAAGAAGGAAAACTTCCAGAAGAAGAAAATAAAAATTGTTTCCTACTCTTGAAGCTCCTGGATGAGGTGGATGCTGGCTTCTGCTATCAGTCAGATGTTCAGGCTGGCTCTCACCAAGGGCCCAAAGTAAAGCAGGGGGAGAACAATTAGACAGGAGTATTTCACCACTAAAAAAGGCTTTTATTACAAAATGAATTCTAATAAAACCAGGCCTGGTCTTCAACCCCTCCCGCTGGGTAGAGGCCTAGGGTGGGCTTGGGTGGGGGAGATAGGGATGGGAGGCCCTGAAAGAACAGAGCGGGCTGCCCTCCTCTCATCAGTCTCAGCTGCTGCCCTCCTTTTATAAAGGGCTAGAAGAGCTCTTCCGAAGCCCCTTGAGAGTCCCCATCCTTCCAACCAGGATCCTTCCAACCACTGCTGTCACAGGACCTTAGCAATGCCGCATTGCAGGATCCAGGAGGTCTCAGCTGGCTCTCAGCAGAGGCCATCCAGGGTCACTCAGCCTGAGCGATGGCGTAGGAGAGCAACCACAGCAGCAGGGGACCCAGAGTGAGGAGAGCAAGCCAGACAGCAAAGCTGGCCAGGATGAATTTCCGGGCCTGGGCCCCCCAGCGCACTGCCTCCTCGGACCGGCCTGCTTTATGCCGCTCTTCTGCCTGTGGGGGCAGGTTCTTGGTTAGGTTCTCCCGCTACTTCTGCCCCAAGGTGTCCATTTCCCCACTTCACTCCCCCTTCCCTGTCACAGATGAAAATCTCACATCCAAACCCTCTACCTCCTTTCCAGTTTCTGATTCTAAACTCTCATCTGCAAAATAAAGTACCCATCTCTACGCCCTGCCTACTTCTCAGAGTGGCCACAGTTAGCTCACAAGATCGCATATGGTAAAGTACTTTCCAATTCTTTTATTCCCCATTCTTTCCAACCATCCAAGATTGATTCAGAATTTGTAACTATTGGCAAGAAATAGTGAGCCTGGAGTATTTCATTCATGCCCAAACACCACCTCATTCTCATAGCCTGATGGGTATCTTTTCCATCTTTTTTTTTTTTTTTCTTGAGACAGTTTCACTCCTGTCACCCAGGCTGGAGTGCAATAGTGTGATCTCACTGCAACCTCTGCCTCCCAGATTCAAGCAATTCTCCTGTCTCAGCCTCCTGAGTAGCTGGGATTACAGGCGCGTGCCACCACACCCAGCTAATTTTGTATTTTTAGTAGAGATGGGGTTTCACCATGTTGGTCAGGTTGGTCTCGAACTCGTGACCTCAAGTGTTCTGCCCACCTCGGCCTCCCAAAGTGCTGGGATTACAGGTGTGAGCCACCGTGCCCAGTCTCTCTGTCATCATTAAGGGCCCTTTTTAGGATTTTGCCCTAATGGAACCCAGGAGTTCTTTTTTTTTTTTTTGAGACGGAGTCTCGCTCTGTCACCCAGGCTGGAGTGCAGTGGCCGGATCTCAGCTCACTGCAAGCTCCGCCTCCCGGGAACCCAGGAGTTCTTACAGTAAGTTTCTGACTGTTAAAATATGTCTAGGGTTGAGAAAATTCCAGCATGAAGTTTAACTTAGCCTGTGTAGCCTTTCCTAAAGGACATGTGCTGTTTCTTTTTCTTTTTTTTTTTTTTGAGACGGAGTCTGTCACCAGGCTGGAGTGCAGTGGCATGACCTCGGCTCACTGCAACCTCCGACTCCCTGGTTCAAGCAATTCTCCTGCCTCAGCCTCCAGAGTAGCTGGGATTACAGGCACGCACCATCACGCCCAGCTAATTTTTGTATTTTTAGTAGAGACGGGGTTTCACCATGTTGGACTGGATGGTCTCAATCTCCTGACCTCGTGATGTGCCCACCTCGGCCTCCCAAAGTGCTGGGATTACAGGCCTAAGTCACCGCGCCCGGCGGACATATGCTGTTTCTAATAGGCTTTTTGAAATGGTGAAGCCCTCTCAAAAACCCAGTAGTGTCTTTCAGACTCCTAGAGATTGTGCTTATCACCGTTCAGCAGCCTCTAGCCTTGCCCCCTCCAAGTCACCCTCGATGTAGGCCTTGAGAGTGGATCTTTCTAAAACTCAAATCTAACCACGTCACTTTCCCCTGCAGGAACCACTCAATGCCCCCCAAGTACTTCCCAGATAAAGTCAAAACTCTTAAGCACAGAACTGGAGGCCCTTGGAAATCTGGGTCCTCTAGCTTCATCTCTCACTATTCCTCACTGGTCCAGTCGTGCCCCACAGGCCTTTGTACACACTGCTTCCTTTATCTGGAATGCCCTTCCACCCTTACTCACTCACGCTTTAAGGTTAATTCCCGTCACCTCTCCTAGGATGCCTTTCCAGTTACCTACTCTACCACATACACATATATCATTATATACATAGATCCTCCCTGGCTCCCAGACTGTCCTGTGCTTCCTGTATTATGGTACTGATGAACTGCATTCTATTAATTATCCTTTTTCACTGTCATCTCTTTCATTAGACTATGGGTCCTCTGATGGCAAGGAACCCTGTCTTACTCTTATTTCTGGCACTAGGCCCAGAGCACTGATAGGTATTCAGTGACTAATCAATGCAGATAGATCAGATACATGAAACCATTGCCTTATACCCACCCCCCTGTCACTCCTCACCTTGATGGCAAACACCAGAGCCACGACTCCCAGGCAAGAGCAGCCACAGATAATGCTAGTAGCTGCCAAGCAGCGGAGGCGGAGCCAGCAGCAGCGGATGGGGGATGGAGGATGAGCAGCTTCCGTGTTGCCCATCAAGATCTCCACTGCCTTCTCCTCGTCCTCCATCACCTGTGGGCGATAGTCAAGGTACTTGTGAGCCCAACAACTGAGCCCTTGGCCTTGCTTGCTCAGACTCCACCCCTCGGAGCACTCTGTTCTCGTGGCATAGCCTGGCACTCAGGAATGCTGCCTTACTGGGGAATTCCTCTAGTGACTCACAGAGCAGAAGAGGAAATGTGATGTGTGGCTGGAATCCTTTTACCTGAGTTTGAGGTTCTGAGTCTTTGAAAGCAAGCCAATGTAGACAAGGTATTATCTGTATTATTTAGTGTTACAACAAGTGGGAAGAGGCCAAATGACGGGTGCACACCAAGAAGCAGGAGAAATACAAACTCTTGAAAGCTGCTATGAATCTGTTATTTTAATCTGTATTTCAAAGGACCCTACAATTCCCCCAGATTCCCAAGAGGCTGCCCCCTGAGTACTATAGATGTCAGAGAGCAGAACCCTAGGTACTGCACCCCACTTCAAGCAAAGCAGCCATTTTACATGAAAACAGTTATGGGAATGGAGAAAGGTAAGGAAAATATACCCGAGTAAGCCCTTTTTTACCGCTGAAACCAAACACCAAAAAGACCTTACTTCCCTAAGTCAGGTCTTCCTCTGCTATGCTGCCTCCCTGCCACCTCCTCTCTCTATTTTAACCCAGGCCACACAACACAATCAGACTAGTACACTGAGTCCAAATGACCTCATTATCACACAGAAACCTGCATAATGATGCCCTACTTAATTATTTCTCGTCTCCCTACTTCTCAGGTCCTCTAGGCCCTGGCATCAAACCACCTTTCTACCCTTATCTCCAACCATTCTCCTACAACCCACACAAAATGAAACCACAATGGCTCCCTGAACCCAAGGAACAAAGGATAGGAAAGGTGAAAGGGGTGAGACAAGCACAGAGCAAAGAATGATGTGTGCCAAGAAGCTGCAGGGAAGTAGATACAAATAAATAACTCGGATGAGGTAAACAGAGTCAACAGGAAGACACAAGGAGGGCCCAGGGAGTCAACAGAGAATATAAAATGAACAGGGCTCTTACCTGGCTATAGGCTTTGAGGGACTCTGAGTTTCGGCTCCTGCCTCAGCTTTGGTTTGGCTTGGGTGGTGATGGAGCTGACTCAGGGCTCCAAGCCAAGCCCAGGGGTGGGGTTGAGTGGCCAGCCACCACCTGAAGAGCTCAGGGAGCTGGGAAGGGGTGTGGCTGACTCAAACCAGTTTGGCTAGATGAAGAGCAGGGGAGTGCCCAAGGGATGGACCAACTGGAGCTAGGACGCCTGCCCTCTGGAAAAAGGAGTGAAAGGAAGCACCTGAGCAAGAGGGATAAAAGGGAAAGGTCTGAGGCATCAAAGAGCTCTGAGGAACGTCTAGGAACCGAGGGAAAAGAGAGGAGGAAAAGAATGTCTGTGACTTCAAACTGACTAGGGAAAGGCACCCTACCACATCAAATTCACCAATCTTCCCTTTTCTTGGGTAGGTTTCTACTTGGAATATACAGTCCTAGGCTAGAGATCAGGTGCTAGGATCTTTGCAAGAGCAAGAGGGAAGAGAAAAACGATGCCCAAGTTCCCACCCAACCCTCCACCAGACCAGAAAATCAGAAGCCTCCTTACGCGGATGCTCGTACAGAAACTAAGTTTATTATTTTTTCTTCTTAAAAAAAAAAAAAAAAGAAAAAAAGAAAAAAAGAAAAAAACCTCATTGTAGAGAAGCCCCTCCCCTTTCCCCTAAGGGTGGGGGGCTGTGAAAGACAGCTGGGGAATCAAGTACAAGGGGGTGGGGACAGAGACTATCTTGCCACCCTTAACACTGCCCAGCCACGTGGGGTGAAGGGGAGGGGGACTGTGATGATCCCCATTTCCATGACAACCAGTTGCCTACCCCCTACTTTGGTGGGAAGAAGGGAGAAGGCCCCTATGTCTCCCTGGAGGCTTTCCCCCTCAAGACTTCAAGTAGTGGTTAACAGAGTCAGGCCTGGTCATGGAGGGAGCGGCCACGGTGGAAAGCCTAGGTGGAGGGGCAGCCCACTCACGTCTTGGCCTTGCGGCCTCTGTAACTAACAGTAGGGCCAGCCAGGGAGGGAGGGGCACTGCTGCGCAAGATGCGCTGGTCCCCTTGGTTGGTGGTCCCAACAAGCCGGCGGGGACCAGGACGTCGGCGTGGGGTCCCATCCCCTTCCTCCTCCTCACCTGAGGCTTCAGCCTCAGACTCCTCTACCGAACCCTCAGGCCCCAGGGGACTTGGGGGCTGTAGGCGGCCCCGCTTTGCCAGCCCAGGACCCCCACCAACTGGGGCCCCTGCTCGTTTGCGAGGCACCTTCTCAGTCTCTAGTGGGGGGACTAGAGACCCTGGACGCAGCCGGGTCGAGCGCAGTTTTGGGGCTAATGAGACCACAGGAGGTGTCATTTCCAACCCCCCTGGCCCGCTATCTGCTAAGTCCAGGTCATCCTGAATTACAGCCACCACCATGGACCCTCCACTCTTCCGTCCTCGCATTCCTTCTGCTTCAAGCCGAAGGCGGGCCAGGCGGGTGAGGGGGCGGCTTCCATCCTCATCAGAGGAACTACCCTCACTCTCCCCTTGGCCCTGCGGTTGCCGTCGCCTCCCCAATCCACAGCTCTCGAGGACAGAAGTGCTGTCACGGTCCAACACAGGGAGCTGGCTGGGCCGAGGTGATGGAGGATTCTTGGGAGGTCGGCCCCTCTTCCGTTTGGGTGGGGACGTTGAAATGGTGACAGTGGTGACAGTGTTGGCAACAGTAGCAGTGGGACAAGCTAGCAGTGGTGGGAGTGGGGTTAGGGGTGATGGGTGTGGGGGTGGCTGTGTCCGACTTTCGGAGTTGCCATCCCCTGGAGAGGAAATGGTCCCAGGGATGGGCAAATCTCGTGCCTTAGGGGGTCGCCCTCGCCTTCTTTTCTCCACAGGTGACAGGATAGGATTGGGTCTGTGAAGTGGCTGGGGTCCAAGAGGCTGGGGCCCAGGAACAAACTGTGGTTCCAGGACAGGCTCTGCAACAATTAGGGTCTCAGGCCGAGGGACTGGGTCAGCCCCATTGGTTTTTCCCTTCAAGGTGGATGAGGGTGCCTCATCCACACCTCTCCCAGCATCTGCTGGAGACCTGTTCTTCTTGGGGGGCCTCCCCCTCCGACGTTTCACAGCAGGTGGGGTGATGGCAAGCAGTGCTCCGTCTCCATTCTCTGGGGTGCCACCACCAGTCACCCCCAGCTCAATGTGACGGCGAGCAATGAAGGGCTGCTGGGGTGGAGTGGGCAGTGAGGATGAAGGAGCAGCTTCACAAGGCCCACCAATGGGAGGGGAGGATTCTGGCCCTGACATGCTGCGGACAGACGGGCTTCCTGGGCTGGCGCTAGTCTCAGAGACCCCAGGCACTAGGGTGCTGGCAGCTCCCCGCTGCTGCCGCCGCCGCCGCACCAGTTCCTTTTCCTCTACCACAGTTACTAGCCGTCCTGGCAGCTTTCGAAGCACTTTGGGGCCTGGTGGTTGTCCTGGCCGACCAGTCCCTTGACCCCTAATTTCCACATCAGCACTGGTGCGACGCCGAGGAGGTCGGGCAGGTGAAGGACCCTCAGGTGAGGAAGTGGCTGAAGATGAGGTGGATGGAGCTGCAACCTCAGGTGTAACAAGTTCCTGTGGCTTCTCTGGGCTGGAGGTTGGGGTCTGGGCCTCTGCCAGCTCTTCCGAGGTCCTGTCAGCTTCCAGTGGCTCCTGAAGTGGCTCATCAGATGCTGCTGAGGGTGGGAGCTCCAGGCCATTGCTCTCACTCACACACAGGGGCAACTCCTCACCTTCAGGCAGCACTGTAAGGGTGGTGCCCTCAGCAGAATCTGGTGCCTCCTGTTCTTGACCGTTAGGGACACTGCCAGCCTCCAAGGTCGGGCTGGGTGCAGAAGGGGTGAGAGAAAGGTTCTTCTCTGACACAGGCAGGATCTCCACAGCAACTGGCAACAGATCTTTAGGGGGCACAAGAGTAAGTGAGGAGGTTTCTGAACTGGCCACAGAAGCCAGCTCCAGGGACTCTGGAGATGCCAATGCCTGGGCACACAGTTCTGCCTCAGGCCTCAAACCCAAGGGGAGGTTGGTGACTGGGGGAGAAATGGGCACAGAAGGTGGACCAAGCAAGAGAGGAGAGGAAGGAGTTAAAAGACAGGTTTGGGCTGGAGGCGGTGTATGAGCTGGTGGAGGGGTACAGGCGGGAGGAGGGGTGCAGGCAGGAGAACAAGGAGGAATCTGTGGAGGGGGGGGAGAAGGCAATATATGGACAGGGAGAATGGTTATTGGATTTGGGGTTGAAATGGGTACTGGGGCAGAGACTGGGACAGGAACAAGGGCAGGAATTGCAGCTGGAGCTGAAGCTGGAGTGGGTCGAGGCCTAGGTGCTGGCCTGGAAACTCTCTCCCTGGCAGGACTGCAGCGGGGCGGTGTGGTGGTGCTGCGAGTTTGATGGGCGGATATGACAGGAGTGTGGTTTGCCCCTTGAGTCTCAGCCCGGGCTCCACGAAGACGCTCACTGACACGAGTCCCTGGCCTCTCAGGGGCCTTGGCCTTTTTACTGCGCCGGTGGGTGCCTCCACCAGTCCCACAGGAACTCTCATCCCCAGCCCCTGGCCCCTCCTCCTCCTCTTGGGGTAGGCGGAACACCTCCTCCTTGGCTTGGTCCAGGTCTTTGCGGGCAGCTTCCACTTGCTCCTACAACAACAGGGCCCACAAGTGGTCAGGAGGAGGCAAGCAGAGTAGAGAGTGAGTAGAAATTAGCAGCTTCCAGGCCAGGCGCAGTGGCTCATGCCTGTAATTCCAGCACTTGGGGAGGCTGAGGCCAGCGGATCACCTGAGGTCAGGAGTTCAAGACCAGCCTGGCCAACATGGTGAAACCCCATTTGTACTAAAAATACAAAAACTAGCCAGGTGTGGTGGCACACGCCTGTAATCCCAGCTTCTCGGGAGGCTGAGGCAGAAGAACTGCTTGAACCCGGGAGGCAAAGATTGCAGTGACCCGAGATTGTACCAATACACTCCAGACTGGGCGACAGAGTGAAACTTTGTCTCAAAAAAACAAAGAAAAAGAAATTAGCAGCTTCCAACTGCCAGCCCCATCCCTGGAAATACTCACTTCTGCCTGTTTGAGCTCCTCTCGGCTCACCTCCTCCAGTGAGGCCTCCAGGAATTTCATGGCATAACGCTCAATGGGGGTCAGCTGCAAGGAGGAGCAGTGATGATAAACGTAGGAACCTGGTACCCAGGGACCCACCACCCTTATTTATTCCCAGCAGGGAAGACAGAAGGAGGGTCACAAGCCCAGGGGAAGCAGTAAAGTCAAGAACTAGTGGGTCCAACACTGACTGACCTGTTCTACGAGGGCAGCAATTTCCTGCTCAGCCCGGGACATCTCCTCATCCTCAGCCCCAGGCCGGCCAGCCTCCTCTCCCTCACAAGCAGGAAACCCATCGTTCTCATTAAATTCTGCAAGCTCAGCCACCTGTTCAGCCTTGGCCTGGGTGGCTGCACGGATATCCTCTTCATCTTCTGCCCGACACAATGCCTACCAGGGTGTATAAAAGGAAACAAAAACATGAGACTATAAGTACTTTACATCATGTGATTTGATTCAGGCAAGACCAGGCATACACCAAACTAGGTTTGCAATAGAACTCAACAACCTCCTAGGCCTCCAGAGTTACCACAACTCAGTGGTCCACAAAGGATGGAACGGATTTTACCAGGACACCCACTAGGGAAAAATGAGTATTTTAGAGATTGCTCGCTCTACCTCCCTTCCTTTAAAGCCAGCCTCAGCTCTCAAAAAACAAAAAAACAAACAAACAAAAAAGCCATCACAGAAAGATGTGAATAGAAATGCACAATTCACCTGGGCACGGTGGCTCACTCCTGTAATTCCAGTACTTTGGGAGGCATGAGGTCAGGAGTTCAAGACCAGCCTGACCAACGTGGTGAAACCCCATCTCTATTAAAATTACAAAAATCTGCTGGGTGTGGTGGCACGTGCCTGTAATCCCAGCTACACAGGAGGCTGAGGCAGGAGAATCGCTTGAACCCGGGAGGTGGAGGTTGTAGTGAGCCGAGATCGCGTCATTGCACTCCAGCCTGGGCGAAAGAGCGAGACTCCATCTCCAAAAAAAGTAATATAATGTCAAAAACTGCAATTATTTTTGCATCAACCTAAATACTTAAGTGGAAATGCTAATGAAAAGGAAATAATTTTGAGGATTAAATGGTGAGGTGGATATGCTGTGTACTTAATGCTTTTTTTTTTTTTTTTTTTTTTTGAGACGGAGTCTCGCTCTGTCGCCCAGGCTGGAGTGCAGTGGCGCGATCTCGGCTCACTGCAAGCTCCGCCTCCTGGGTTCCGCCATTCTCCTGCCTCAGCCTCCCGAGTAGCTGGGACTACAGGCGCCCGCCACCTCACCCGGCTAATTTTTTTTGTTTTTGTATTTTTTTAGTAGAGACGGGGTTTCACCGTGTTAGCCAGGATGGTCTCGATCTCCCTACCTCATGATCCACCCGTCTTGGCCTCCCAAAGTGCTGGGATTACAGGCTTGAGCCACCGCGCCCGGCCGTACTTAATGCTTTGTACTTAATGTGAAACGCTGTTTCAAACACTTACACATAATTAAATCACATTTGGAAAGGTTTTTAAAAGATTTATTCCTTGGCCCTCTCTCAAAATCTATCATAATTTTGGGGTGCTGGGTCTGAGCATTTGTGTGTTTTCAAAGCTTTCCAGTTGGGAGCCTCAGCCTCCCAAAGTGCTGGGATTACAGGTGTGAGCCACCCTCCATGCCCTGCCCACATTACTTTTAATAGGAAGTGAGGTTCAAAAGAGTGAGGATTGTAACTTGTCTTAACACTAAAGAAGCATTACTGAAATTCATACCTAAAACTAAGGACTCCAAAATCCTGTCTTTTTTCCTACTAAATCATGTGAACCAATAAGCAATGTACTTACAACTATCAAACGCTGACTGTAATCTGGGAAGCAGAAAAAACATCTCTTTCCCCTGGACAAGTTCAACAGACTAACAAAGGACAAGATATGCTGTAAGAATTAGCTCAACTTTAGGAACTGCCCACTCTTTTTTCACCTGCTCCAGAATATGAGTCTGCTTGCTGGCCACAGTCTCTTCTTCCTCTTCAGGGGCAGAGGGCACAGATGAGCTAGAAGGTTCCTCCAGGGGCATATCAAACAGCTCTCGGATGGTCTGCTATCGGATAGAACAGAGGGAACTGTCAGAATCAACAGAATGCTAGTCTTAGGTCTAAGCTGTAAGGCTCTAAGTTGTAAGGCTGATGGTTCTTGGAACTATCAGGGGTGCCACTGGCTGAAGACACAGGTCTGTGAAGGCCAAAGCAGTCCTTTTTGTTTTTTCTTTTTTGAGACA